AGCTTAATAAATGAACATAAATGAACGTTATACAAACAGTTCACCGAACTCTCTGTTCATTTACCCCTAATCATCCCTTTGGAAGTCAACATCAACAAACTAAATCCTTGAGTTGGAGCAACCAACCAAAACCCTTGCAAGCAAAGTTATAAAAAGAAAGAAAATAAGAAGGGAAGTTGGAGTCTATACGTTAAACAAAGGAAGGGGATGATATTGAAAATGATGACACCTTGGCTTAAACTCCAATGTCATTTTCAATGTTAGTTATCAGTTATGAGGGGGGAAATTGCTTGATTTCTCTGTTGCTTTCATCTTTCGATTACTCTCTCAATCCTAAACCCATGTCCCTTTCATTTTTGGAAAAATTAAATAAAATAAAAGAAGAAAACAACATAAAATTACATTAAAAAGTATTCCTCAAATGTATATGCAATCAGTCGGTGATAGATACAATTATATTTTAAGATACAAAACATATAGTCCTTAAATTAATGTTTCATTTATATACAAAAATTTATTAATTGACCGAGTGATAAAAATATTTATATTATTTCACTTTATATTAATTTGAATCTTAGTATTTATCTCTAAAAAAGTAATATATTTAGTTAATTAAAAAATGTTTCATTCACGTACAAATGTTCGTCTAAACCCTAACTATATTTATTTGAGGATGTCTAAGGAAAAAAATAACTTAATATAAGGTTAAGAAAGACGCTACCGAAAGTGTTAATATTTTTTTTAATATTTTTAGTAGAGTACTACCTAAAATGTTATTTTTCTACCGAAAATATTAATATCAAACGTTACCTAAAATGTTAGTTTTTTATCGAAAATGTTAATATCAAAAATATTCATTTGAGATAACGAAATTAAAATTTCCGGTAGAAAAAAAATAGCATTTTAAGTAACACTCTATCGAAAATATTAAAAAAATATTAATATTTCCGATAACGTATTTATTTAACCTTATATTTGGTATTATAATTACCTCCCTATTTGTTGAATAACAGATAAAGTAGGGTTGTTTTAATTTGGGACTTGGGGATTTACCAAACAATCCCTTGTACCCATAAGGAATTACCGAATTGGTCTGCCGTTCATAGTATTCCATCTCGATGTTACCCAGGAGGCAAAGTCATCTCTTTTTCCATTATACATAGTATTCATCACAATGATGGATGATTGGTAAGTCCGTCGCCTACACGGCTCCTCCAATTAACTTACTTTATCATTAATTTTCAAACATACCCTGCTGATCGTTAAGATTTTGTTTGTTTTGATTTGGTTAAAAATTTCAAAATAGGAAAAAAAAATGGGAAATGTGAGGAGGTCTTTAATAGTTTTAGAGACGAAGAAAAAGGCTCTCCTAGTCATGTCTTTGTGCAGGCCTCAGTAATCATCACCAGCTACTCCCCCACGTATAAGAACATAAAGCTTCTGCCTTTTTTCTGAAGGGAAAAAAACCCACACTAAGTTTTCTGCTTTTTTTGTTACTTCTATTTTACCCCATTGAAGTAGACATGTTGGCAACCTTATGGATGGAGCTTTCACCAACCAAGAACAAATAGGGTCTACCAAACAGCAACAACAACATCATTCATTACCAGTTCAAGCCTCATATGCCTTTGCCAAAGCTAAAAGCTAAGAGCTTTTGGGTTTCCAAATCTTTTAGAAGGTTGTGTTACAAAGCTAAGGAGTCCAATTTTTGTTGCTCACAAAAGTTGGAGTGTAGTGGTATGATAGTTAGCAACTCTGTTTTTTGTCCTTCACCTGCTCCGTCTGAAGAACAGCCAGCTGAAATGGAGCGTTTGGTTGAGAAAAATGGAAGCTTTGAAGAGAAAGATGAAAGCTTTGGGGAGAACGGGGTTCAAATGGGGACATTTGGCGAGTTGCTTGAAGAAAAGGGTCGTGAAAGCAGTTCAAGTTCCGATTTTTTAACATCTGAAACAACAGTTCAAGAGGAGGAACACAGTCAGAGTAGTTCAGAGGAAGGGACAACTTCATCACCTTCATTAGGATGGCCTGTAAAGGAAAATGCCGGGGAAGAAGACTGCACCAGCACTAATTGTAGTGAAGATGGAAAGAAAGCCCCATTGGATAATAGGAAATTAGAGAAACAAGGTTCTACAATTTCAGGTATTATTATTGATATCATGTGATTATTATGTCTCACACCATTTCCTTGCTTGAAGTTTAACCATTTGTTTTAATTTGTTTGGTTAATGGGGTTATAGAGATTGAGTTGATGAAGGAAAGATTTGCAAAATTGTTGCTTGGAGAAGATATGTCTGGCTGTGGAAATGGTGTTTGCACAGCCTTGGCTATTTCAAATGCCATCACCAATCTTTGTGGTATGATATAGTTTTCATCAATTCTTTTTGACAATTTGTCCATGTGGGAATTTGTTTCTTATTTTATGTTGGTTAATTGCCATTGACCTTTTTGTTTGATTGTTATTTCCCATTCATTTCCATTTTGAAGCTACCTTATTTGGGCAAATATGGAGATTAGAACCAGTTCCTCCTGAGAAGAAAGCAATGTGGCGACGAGAGATGGAATGGCTTCTTTCTGTTAGTGATCACATTGTTGAGCTGACACCTTCGTGGCAGACTTTCCCGGACGGAAGCAAGCTCGAGGTATAGTTTTCCCTATAAACATCTCCCAGGATTTGAAATTTCGATATTAGGTCGGTGTTTGAGTTCTAGGGAGCAAGTTCTATCCAGTGGAAGATTTGTAGCTTAAAATGGCAAATGCCGTTGGTGATGAAATACACCCCAAGAAAAGCTACTAAAAAAGTTTTATAATCGTGTAATGTATAGTCTAAATAAGTTAGTATATTGCACTGTGTTACATGGATATGGTTCTTGTTGTGATTGCAGGTCATGACTTGCAGGCCTCGTTCGGATCTTTACATTAATATTCCGGCTTTAAGAAAATTGGACAACATGCTTCTTGTGAGATCCACTGTCTTTATGACAATGTACATATCATTCTGATTGGAGAGTGTTTTTTTATTATAACATTATTTTTGCAGGAGATATTAGATAGTTTTACCGATACCGAGTTCTGGTACGTTGACCAAGGGATTCTAGCCCCAGAGGCTGATGGATCAACCTCTTTCCGGAAAGCCCTTCAACGACAAGAGGAAAAATGGTGGCTGCCGGTCTCTCGAGTGCCGCCAGGGGGCCTCCATGAAAATTCAAGGAAGCAGTTGCAGCATAAACGTGACTGTACAAACCAGATCCTAAAGGCTGCCATGGCAATCAACAGTATTACTCTAGCTGACATGGATGTCCCTGAATCATATTTGGAATCTCTTCCAAAGGTAAAAGAGAATTAATAAATACTAGCCATTCTTCATTCTATTTTCTTCTATTAAAACTTTGGTGCAAACTTGTTTCAGAATAGCCGAGTGAGCCTAGGAGATCTCATATATCGCTATATTTCATCGGATATGTTTACACCTGAATGCCTTCTTGATTGCCTTGAGCTATCATCTGAGCATCAAGCTATAGAGATTGCCAATCGAGTGGAGGCCTCGATATATTTATGGCAGAAAAAATCAAACTCCAAACCTCTCAGCACAACACGGTCCAGTTCAAGGTCGTCATGGGATTTGGTCAAGGACCTAATGACCGATGCTGACAAGAGAGAGATGCTTGCCGGTCGAGCAGAGAGCCTCTTGCTTTGCTTGAAGCAACGTTTCCCTGGTCTTCCCCAGACCACTTTAGATATGAGCAAAATTCAGTATAACAAGGTTTGTGTCAATATTTCTAGTTCGAGTTATGTTCTTATGAATTCTTTTAATTACAAAATTCATGCTGATGAATGAACATTACGGTGGTTATCAGGATGTTGGGAAATCCATTTTGGAGAGCTACTCGAGAGTTTTGGAGAGCCTTGCGTTCAACATTGTTGCACGTATTGATGATGTGCTCTATGTAGATGACTTGACCAAGCATTCGGATCAGTTCTCTTTGCTTTCCAGGATTGGTGTTATCGGTCAGAAGAGTCTCTCAATCCCATGCTCAGTGCCCTTCCCCAGCACTCCTTATAGAACAGCATTTTCGACCCCAAACTTTTCACCTGCACCATTAGCTACCCCTTCCAAGGGTAATAGATCACCGTTTCTCTCAAACAGCAAAGTTCCTCAGCGTGGGATGAGTGTGGCAAAGGTCTTGACAGATTATCTTAGTATCGATTTAAAGCCAAAGGAATACAGTAATTCAAATGAAGGAACTGAATCCGGTTCAACCGTAGGTAAAGAAACATCGGTATCTTTTGAACCTCTAACAGAGGCAGCGAGCTTACCAAAATTGGAGTCAGTTCCAGAGAAAGAGCCCTGAAGCTGGACATCACGAGCCAATTTTATTTTTTGTTTTAAATTTGGTAGGAATAGGAAAATGCTTGAGAATGACAAACATTCACCCGTTTCTGTAAATGTTAAATAAGTGGAGTGATCCATGCTTTCTTAGGGCATCGTTTATGGTCTCAAAGTGGATCATGGCTGAACATTCTATGAATCAAATTCAGAATAGGAAAAATAACCTCTTTTAGTATCTTTTATGTCCGTTTTACGGTTTATGTTCGAGGTTCGTGGCTGCGCCTCTTTATGCGAATAGCCAACGTTAAATGTAACTCTTAATGTTAATAAAGATGGGGGTAGTTGATTGTAAGTTGATTACACGTTGCCAAAAAAAAAAGGAAGTTTGATTGGAGCAGGCACTGTATTGGGTTGTTGTTGGCAGAGTTTAAGAAATACGGGGATGAAGTGGCTAAATGGCAAGCTTTGGTCGGTTTTACAGTCGTTGAGATGATTCTGAAATCAAAGTGCTACTATTATAAAATTGTCTCTTATTATAGTGCTACCTCCATTATACCATTAGTGCCTGGTGCTTTAATTCCATCTCATGCTCAAGTTTCAGTTATAAATACCCAGCTTCGGAATCGGTAATCTGCATTCAGGTTCAGGTTCAGCTGAGTGTTCTTGGATTTGTTCAGATAAGATAAAAATGGCAGCCGCATTGAAACTTATGTGTGTTATGGGATTGATTGTGCTCATTAGCATTTTGGAGATACGGAAGGTTAATGCAGTAGGGGAATGTGGAAAATCATCTCCTGATAATGAGGCAATGAAGCTAGCCCCATGTGCCGAAGCAGCACAAGACGCGAAAGCTCCTGTTTCAGCCGCTTGCTGCGCACAGGTGAAGAACATGGGCCAAAATCCGAGCTGTCTCTGCGCGATTTTGCTATCCAACACTGCTAAAGCATCCGGAATTAAGCTCGAGAACGCCATAACCATCCCTAAACGCTGCAACTTCGCCAACCGTCCAGTCGGTTACAAATGCGGACGTGAGTCATGATTTTTCATTGTTCCATATATTCTTTTACACTTCCATTTCCAAGTTCTTACACCACAACTGTTTGTTTTGCAGCTTATACACTTCCTTGAAGTGAAAGTTTGGGGACTGGAAAACTGATGCCGGAGCTCACTTGTACTACTGAATTTGTAGCTTAAGCTTACCTTTGTACGAATAAAAATAGCCCTGTTTATATTATTATATCCAATCTTTATGCCTTTTATTATCATCGCCTTTTGAATCACATGCATGGATGTAACATGAAAATCCTAATCAACTTTGATAAAAATAAGTAAAAAATGGGTTTACATAATCTTTCTTCCGACATAAAATCATGCGTTCATCCTTGTGTATAATTATGATAGATTAGATTGTCGTATAATGATGGACTAAACTGTTATCTGTATATATTTTCAATTAGAAATTTGTAATTGGAAAAAATAACACTATTAAAATTGGACAATCATTTAAAATAATTTAACATTATATATCTCCACATATGAGAGAAATAATATTACACATAAGATACATATATATATGTCGCAACCGTCTTTAGGTTGTGCCTCGGAATTGGGCTTCGACTTGAAAAATATGGATTGGAGTCGTCACCGATCATTTATTTAAAACAAATGGGTTGATCGGATACCCTATTTCTTACCTGATCTGCGTCTTTCCAAAGATGTGTCGGGTTCGGGAGTCGGTTACGGTCAAGAAAGGATTAGCACCCTTGAACCGTCCTTTCGGTACTACGTAATTTCCAGTTGTCTTTGATTAAGAAAATTACAAGTTAAATTAAAAAGGTAAAATTTGATCCGAATTACTTACCCTTAATGAGTTTACAGAAATACCCTTAAAAATAAGATTTTAAAAGAAAATAATAATAATAAAAGAAAGTAACAAAACTAAAGAGTAAACCAAGGAAGTAAATGAAACCAATAATAATAAACATAAAATAATTGGATGGAAAAAATGAAATTGAATAAAATAAAATAAAATAAATGAAGATAAAATATATATACAAAAAGAATAAAAAAGGTAAAGTGTTTTTTTAAAAGAAAAATAATAATAAGAGCAAAGAAACTAAAAATATAATGAAAATAAATAAATAGTATAAATAAAATAATAAAATATATATATATAAAAATATAAAAATGTATGTATAATATAATAAAATACTAAATAGTAATAATAATAATAAATAAATAAAAAATAAATATACATATAATATTAACTAAAAAAATAGTAATTATAGAAATATAAAATAAAATAAAATAAGAATATATATATAACGTTAGGAAAATATAGTAAAAAAAACATAGTAAATAAGTAAACATAAATAAAAAATAATAATATAATATATATATATATAATAATAGAAAAATAATATAATATAACGCAAAGAAAAATGAAAAAAATTATAATAAATAAATAAATAAAATATAATTAAATATATACATATATACATATAAATAATAAGGGTTAAATTAAAATAAAAAATGAATTAGAAGTCAAAATTAAAAGCCAATCGAAGAAAAAAATGACAAAACACGCGGATCCACACGACCCGTTTATAAAAATCCGAATAGTTTTTCAAAAACACAATCCTCGGGGACTAGATCTACGAAAATAGATCTCGAAAACGCCCCCGTTCATCGGCCAAAAACACTTCTCTCAGTTTTGTTTCGAAATCAAAACACAACAAGGGTAAGGAAAAAATAACATGCGAATGTATGAACTTTACCTTTCAAAATATAAATGCTTCGAAAAATGGGTACGAGTTGCTTGTAATTTTTTGCTTGGTATTTCGTATATCCTCCTCCGAATGTGTTACAATAGTGAGTTACAATGACTATTTATAATGCTTGTGGATCCTATCTTTAGGAGTTTAAATAATAGTAGAACTCTATCCTATTTTTAGGAGTTTGAATCCTAGTAGGACGAAAAAGTGTGTTGACAGCTGTCCCTCTTTGCCCATAGTCGTGTAACGGGGATAGGGCAAAGATTAAAAGACACACTTTTCGTCCAGTGGAGTTGAAAATGACTCTGATGTTTCAATTGTCTAATTGAGTTACGGATGACTCCTCCATCGTGAAGTCGAGTTCATCTTGAAATGATATGAAATTGAAGCCGTAGTTCGAAATTTAAATCAGCACGTGGCTTCCCGTTGCCCTTCGGTCTTCTTCTCGGTTTAAAGACCTTGGATCGGAATCGAACTGAGAAATCTTCATTGACAGATAGCTTTTGCTTGAAAATGGTTGCTTGTTACTAAAGCACGGTTAACCCAGGTCCTCTTCTCGACTTGAAAACCTCGACTGCAACTGGAAAGTAGTGCGATTGATGTGTCATCGAGCTGAATGGAATCGAACTCGACAATTTTGATGGCAGATAACCCTTCTAGCCTTGAGTTATGCTGTAAATGATGTGCCTTGGAGCTGAGCGTAGTCGAACTCGAAGGTCTTTGTTGATAGATACTCCTTCTTTGAGTTGGATATCCTTCGTCGTGAAGTTGAAATCCAATCTAAAGATGGATGATGCTTGTGAGCACGATTCCCTTCGTCGTGAAGTTAAAACCGCGGGTGGCCCTTCGTCGTGAAGTTGAGCCTGAAATTGGATATCCTTTGTCGTGAAGTTGAAATCCAAGTAAGTAGCATTGTTTTGAGTCCAATATCCTCCGTCGTGAAGTTGAAATTGGCTCTGGAACCGGGAAATTATTTGTTGACAACCAGCCGTCCCTTCGTTGTGAAGTTGAACTTGTGTTGTCTCGAGTCCAATATCCTTCGCTGTGAAGTTGAAATTGACTCTGAATGAATTTTTTTGACAATCAGCGCCCTTCGTCGTGAAGTTGAGCTTGTGTTGTCTTGGGTCCAAGATCCTTCGCTGAGAAGTTGAAATTGGCTCTGAAATTGGGAAGTTGTTTATTGACAACCAGTGGTCCCTTCGTCGTGAAGTTGAACTTGCGTTGTCTTGAGTCCAATATCCTACGTTGTGAAGTTGAAATTGGCTCTGAAATTTGGAAATTGTTTATTGACAACCAGCGGTCCCTTCATCGTGAAGTTGAACTTGCGTTGTCTGGAGTCCAATATCCTTCGTTGTGAAGTTGAAATTGGCTCTAAAATTGAGAAGTTGTTTGTTGACAACCAGCGGTCCCTTCGTCGTGAAGTTGAACTTGCGTTGTCTGGAGTCCAATATCCTTCGCTGTGAAGTTGAAATTGGCTCTGAAATTGGGAAGTTGTTTATTGACAACCAGCGGTCCCTTCGTCGTGAAGTTGAACTTGCGTTGTCTTGAGTCCAATATCCTTCGCTGTGAATTTAAAATTGGCTCTGAAATTTGGAAATTGTTTGTTGACAACCAGGGGTCCCTTCGTCGTGAAGTTGAACTTGTGTTGTCTAGAGTCCAATATCTTTCGTTGTGAAGTTGAAATTGGCTCTGAAATTGAGAAGTTGTTTGTTGACAACCAGCGGTCCCTTCGTCGTGAAGTTGAACTTGCGTTGTCTGGAGTCCAATATCCTTCGCTGTGAAGTTGAAATTGGCTCTGAAATTGAGAAATTGTTTATTGACAACCGGCGGTCCCTTCGTCGCGAAGTTGAACTTGCGTTTTCTGGAGTCCAATATCCTTCGTTGTGAAGTTGAAATTGGCTCTGAAATTGAGAAGTTGTTTGTTGACAACCAGCGGTCCCTTCATTGTGAAGTTGAACTTGTGTTGTCTTGAGTGGCACGATATCCTCTGTCGTGGATTTGAAATCGTGGATGTTTGGCTTCGAGCTAGATATCATTCGTTGTGAAGTTAAAATCTACTCTCGAGCAAATTGTGAGTTCGAGAGAAACTTTCAATATGTCGAGTTGGTCGAAGTGTAGCTTCTTGCTGCTGAGTTAAACAACCAACATGAATCTTTAATGGTGCTTTTGAATCGAGTATCCTTCGTCTTGAAGTCGAAACTTGACTCTAAAAGCTGCAAAAAATTATGTATGTGGAAAATGATAAATATGATGCTCTAAAATGTATGCATAAGATGCATGTAACATGAATTAGTTATATTTTATCTCCTGAAAAAGGTCTGAAATGCCCCAATATTTGATGTTGAATCTTCAAAGATGCCCCAAATGTTCCTCATTTCTTGCTTCAGTATTGATTCTGAGCATGAGTTTTATGGTTCCATGTCATTTACCAAGATCCACTCTAGAGAGACTGTCTTGTTTGAAAAAAATGTTTTTCTTTCTCTTTTATTTTCAAAGTTATGAAAATATCAATTAAAAGAGTTTTGAAAAATGTTTGATCCAAATTTTTGAAAATATTGTCACTTTCACGGTTTTACAATTGAGACGAATCATAAACTAGAGTTCATCGGATATCAAAGAATTAATTATATTGTTAATCCTTCAATGAATTATAGCTCTTTGACAAGTGCCAAGATCAAAGCTATTTTTGGGAAGTGGTTAAGTAAGGAAAGGATAAAAAAAATCTCAGGTTATTATGTTTGGTCAAAGGTTTGGCATTTTATGCTCAAAGGTTTGGCATTTGATGCTCATAGGTTTGGCATTTGATGCTCAACGGTTTGATGGGGTAGCTTGCATGCTCCTCTACTGGAAGTGTTCTCTGACTCCCAACCTTCGTGGTCACACTAGGGTTGTAAGATGTCGTATCAAGGAATTTGTGTGATTGCCTCAGTTGCACAATTTTTATATTCGAGCCGCCTTTTCAGGTTTTCAACTCGAACCCTCCTTTGGTTTCAAGACGTTATTCAGGATTTACGTCTTGAACCCCCCTTTGTTATTTTTCTCTACCATGCATTAATTACATTGTTTTTTGCAAACAAAGATTAATCCTGATGGGCGGGATGAAATCTGAAGATAATCTCTTATGTTTAGAAATCCATGTATGATTAGAAAGGACTTTTAAGGCACGTAATGTATGTCAGGGTTCATGGTTATGAAAGAAAAGGATAAATAGGCCCAAACAAGTGTTTCAGTGTGTTGAACCAAGGATCAATTCATTCTGATGCCTTCAATCATGTCATGCTCAAAATGTCTCTCTCTTGATTCTCTATGATCTTCGAGTGAAGTGATTCAGTGATTCGGGAATGATTGTGCTTGATCAATCTCATAGTTTGAAGCTTGATGTG